CTCCACAACGCGAGACACCCGCAGGATGACCCGGGTATCGGCTTGTAGCTATGGGCAAGCCCTTCAATTCAAGCCGCACAGCAAGCTCTACCTCTCAGAAGTAGACAAGCTACATCGTATCGCACGATCTCGCTCTCAATCGTGCGAATATGTTGTTCCCGGTGGTCTAGACTACTAGTGGTATCCTCGCAATCCGCTAGTCGCAGAGGTCGCGAGTTCGAATCCCCATGGGGTGATAAATTTACGAAATTTGCGGGTGATGCGAAATATAGCTAAAAAGCTCTCGTGAGTACCAAACTTCTACGTCAGCACCGTTGACGAGGGAAAGGGACGGCTGGACCCTTGTCGTCGCGATAAAAATAAAAAGTTCAGCACGCACCGCAGGAGGAAGGATGGGCATGAAAAGAAATGAAAAGAAGAAAAAAGCCCTGGTGCTTATGTTTCGGCGGCTGCGCGTAGAATCTACACAAAATACTATTATGGGCCGTGACTGTCCGGTGGTCGCGGCGCTAGGGGTATGGGGGCCATAAAACAGGAATTGAAGTATCGGACGCTTCCCTGTTTGCCCTCTAGAGGATTCGAAGAGGCGGCGGTTATGCCGCATCTACGAAGAAGAGACAACTTGAATGTGTTTCTCCGTGGCACGTTTTCGCGAACGTTGCTACCCACCCGGTGTTTACTTAACACCCCCCATGTGGACGGAGGATAATAAAGCCTGTTAAAGTGCACGTTATCACCCGTTAACATGTCTATCGCATGCCTAACTAAGTCATGCTAACATGGGATGGTGGGTCCTATCGCATGCCTAACTAAGTCATGCTAACATGGGATGGTGGGTTATTACCGTATGCTATGAGATGTACGCGTTCACAGTCATCATTCGAACGAAGGTCGTCAGCAAGCTGCGACACTATTTGCTTGATACCGTACAAGGAATGGATACCGTCCGGGAGAGACAACGAAGACAGGTGAGCGCAACCCCCCTACATCACACTGATTCCCAGCCCCGAGGATCCGGTCTACGCACGAACTGTACTCAGCTACGAAGGTGAGAGATGTATGAGCGTTTTGTATGAGCGTCTTTTCAGCTGTTTTAACACTTACCCCCTCCTGTGTGACCCTGGATGGTTATAGTCGTACGAAAAAATGCACTGACAAATGTAGTACTCTACATTCGTTGAAAAGTGTAGTACTCGTCTCACCACGAAAAATGGGGGGACTGTCGCCATAATAATAAGGACGAAAACACACACAAACACACTAAACGAAGTCGAGTGCAGGGTGACAGTCTTAGTAGACACGTGCAGTTTNACCCCCTCCTGTGTGACCCTGGATGGTTATAGTCGTACGAAAAAATGCACTGACAAATGTAGTACTCTACATTCGTTGAAAAGTGTAGTACTCGTCTCACCACGAAAAATGGGGGGACTGTCGCCATAATAATAAGGACGAAAACACACACAAACACACTAAACGAAGTCGAGTGCAGGGTGACAGTCTTAGTAGACACGTGCAGTTTTCTTCTGTTATTACTACGGTATCTGTCTTTAATCCTGAGAATAGCGTAGCTCCCCCTACGACGCTCGGTCCCGGGGTCCCAGATAGTGGACCATAGAAACATTTTGTGTTTCCCGCCGCACTGAGACTGACGTCTTTTCATTGGTCAGCCGGTTAGCGCGGTCGATGCTTATAATAAAAGAACACACACACGGGGTCGGGACAAAAGGGCAACCTTCGGAGATTCAAAGTTGTTCAAACGCCGCCGGCGGAGTAATTCGGACAGACCAGAGATAGAAGAGCGAAGAGAACAAAGAATAAACAAACACCTTGGTCGGTGTTGCGTGTGCCGCTCGTGGAGTCATGTGGTTCGCGGGCAGACAGCCGGCGGCGGACTCGCGCTAAAGGGCTACTGCTACGTTGCGAAGCAGTAGGCCATTGCTTGGCCATGACGGCGACAGCAGCAGGAGCATTGGGGGGGGCATGATGGGCAGCCAATCCCGGTGGGGATGGAGGTAGGTGCGTCGGCGGGCGGGGCTACGCTCTTGTATGTGTGATCATGACCACTGGAGGTTAGCGCTGGTGTGAGGCGACCGTGCGAGTTTGTCGAAAGCATGGTTGTACCGCAAGAACAACACATGAGCAGTCCCACAATACTGTAAGGGAATGCTTTATATGTACAGGTACATTTTTTTCCTGTGGTACCCGAAGACTTAATTTGCAGCCCGGTTTGAACCCTGTGGAACCCTTGACTACATTAGAGGACCGAGTGGTACGCACTTCTGCACTACTGCTAAGAGCCTAGTATAACGTAGAGCACTCCGGTTGGTGGAATCGCGCGATGCACTGCGCAAAGCTACCGTATGCTGACCACATGCATGCTCACGGGACCTACTTGCAGCTACTTGTGGACACTTCGAAGCAGTAGCGCATCAAGGGACGTGAACAACAAGCCCACACAGACAGACGGATAGGGAAGCAGAACGACCCCTTTGTAGTAGGTACTTGGGGTGGCGATGTAGCTCATGAACGAAGAACTGCTGTGTTTTACCCTGGCTTGCAACATCCCCATGCAGCAATCGGCAGTCCAACGACACCTCGGTGCACTGGTTCTCACGTGCTCGCTCTCGGTTGTATCATCTGCGAGCCCCCCTCCCCCCCTGGTTGCCCGTAGATAAAGGTAGGTACACAATACAACTAAAATACCCACCTTTCGCGGTCTCGCCTTCTGCACGTCCACATTCTACTTTTTGCCACATCCAGTTGTGACCACGCAAGAGCTTGTTTGGTTGCCACACAATTTACATACGTGGAGTATGTACAGAACAAGAGGCGGCCGGCCTATGGGCAAACAACAAAGATGCTCGTGACCCCCCCCTGACCATTTCCCGTGTGCGTGTGCCTGCTCCTCCTGATGGTTGCCCATAAAACATGGTGGCGTTTCTAGCCAGTCAGAGACCGAGCGGCTGGTTCGGCTGCAAGCCGTCGTGAGGGGGTGGCTGTTGCGGCGAAAGGTTAATTGGATCCCGGTGAGATACCTGGAAGCTGTGCTCAAGGACCTGGACCAGAGACAAGGGCTTGAGAAGGTACCCCTCCTGTGAAATTCCCTCGTGTTGATGCTTGTGTGTTTCCACGCGTGGCCAGTGGCGGATCCTGTAATAGTCTACGGGACTGCTGTACTTTGTTTTGAGCACTGCAAGGGTAACGACACGGGGTCGACTCAAACCGAATTGCAACACGAATCAAGCGAGAGTGATCAAAACCACCCAATGTCGCGTCGAGTTGCCACACGGATTTGGCGAAGAAAGTGTTCAAGATCACCTGAGGTCGCTGCACACCGAGTTGCCTCACGAATTTCTCGAGTCCCTCCTTGCCTGTCGTTCTGGCGCCATGAGGTTTACGTGAGGTCGACGTGCATCGGTTTCCTGCAAAACGGGCTCCGTGTGGTTCAGAGCGCTCTTGGTGAGTATTTCTTCATCTGAAGCTTGTTTTGTTGCTTTGGTCGAGAGCTTTCCATGCTCATGAAGGAGGACATACTGTTACACGCCAGCCTCTAAACGACATATCGTCTCCAAACCGATCAACACCCACGCCCCTTGCCCCTCCTCCTCCTCCTCCTCCTCCTCCTCCTCCTCCTCCTTCAACACATCAGGTAACGTCTGGACCGGACGGTAACATACGACTAGAAGACGTCTCTACCCGAGAAGAGTTCTCCGCCTGGGCGCTGTCCCTGTACATGGCCATGTACGACGGGACCGAGGTTGAGGACGTGTGCAACGCGTGCGTGGCTTTCAGGGGGGAGGGTAACCCCAACTTTTTCTCCGAAGTTTCCGATTCGACGTGGGGCACAGACGTGCCGAATGACGCTTTTTCTTCTGGTAGCGGAGGCGGCAACTAGGTAAGGCTAAGGGAACCACGCTGGTTCCACACGTCATCGACGCCCGTCCGTTCTTTTGTTCTTTGTTGATGCTGCTCGTCACAATGGCTCGCCGTTGTTTGGGGGGGGGGGGGGGTGACCGTACACTTGGAAGGTGACTCGTGTAGCGGCCGTGTAGTATCGTACCTCTTACGTACGTTGTACGACGCTTTTTTCCCGACGATTTTATTCGATTGCTTCGAGATTGTTCGATCTAAAATTGGGTAGAGATACTTTGAAATGTTGGCGGTTGCCCTACAGATAGTCTCGATCAACAATCACCATCGCGGCGTAGGAATTTCGAGGCCAACAGCAGTTTTTATTCTTCGGCAGGTAACCATGAGCCGTTCGCTATCTTTGCCCATGTGTCAACAGCTGGCATCCGTGTGATTTCGGCTGTCTTGTTTCAGGGCTTGTTGAGGAGAGAGATCCTTGGTGCCTTCTTTTGGTCGTATGCGCGTCTTTTTCTGCGGCAATGGCGAGGAGCAATAGCGTCCGGCCAAAACTGCTTCGGGATATGCACGTGTCCATAACAATACTTTGCCAGAAAAGGAGCATGTCTTCTATTTTGGTCTTGCTGCCAAAAACTCGTAGATCTCGTAGGTCAACCGCTCTTGATTCCTGCGCGTGGCACACATTCCTATCCCACTCAAGCGAGGAAGGGCTACCCAATACAATACACTACCAGACGAATCGTACTACGATACTCATCCCAACACACAAGAACATGACTTTAGGATGGACTCACGAAGTTCATTTGTTCGCCCCCTGTTCACCTCTAACTCTTTGCCCCTCGCCCCCTCTCCCCCCTCCGGTGTTTGCCATCGGGGTTGGGTTTTCGTCGCTTGGCAACGACGTTGTAAAACAAGCCGCCCCTCCCGGTGTTTGCCATCGGGGT